AGCGCCGCTAGACCTTTAGCGAGTGTGAAGCGTGGTATAAAGGGAAACTGGCGCCCAGGTACTAGCGCCGCTAGTCTGGGATAGCACCGCTCTCTTCCCGCCCATAGCGCGGCTATGGGCGTAGCGAGGGGATAACGATGGGCTGCAAATAGATGCCTTAGAATTGAAGCACCGCTACACCTGCAACACCGCTAACACCACTCCCTAGTGCCGCTATGTGGCAAAGCGCCGCTAACATGGCAGGGACTCTCCATGTCGGAACCGTGCCACGACAGCGTGACACATCACTCCTAGCGCCGCTAACCCTTAGCGCCGCTATGGTCTGATGCAAATCAGTGCATCAACGACTCCCTTGAGTGTGACCCAAGACTTGTTCCACCGAGCCAACATAGACCGAATCCCATTGGGACCCTCTGCATTTCACTTCCGTGAACTTTGAGTGAGCAATCGACCTGTGGTTGTCCTCGTATATCTATCTTGCGAATGAGGAACCGACTTGTGGTTGCCCATTATGCTTTTGTATACCATCGGACGGTCCTTGTACCCAGTTTTGATCAATATATATTTACATTTAACGATAAAAAAAAAATAAAACTTTGAACAAGATTTTTAGATACTATTTTACGTTAATAGGTTGTCATTTTATATATTAATAGGTGCAAAATTAGTACACAATATGTGATTACACATATGGTATATTAAAGAAATTGTAAAACTATTAAAAAATATATAAGATAGGAGTTTTATTTTTGTAATTTTAGCTTTCTTTTAAAAAAATGCATCCCCCTTATATATAATTCCCGAATGCGCTGAGCCTACGTGGCTGCATCTGGTGCTTCGGAATCCTACTTGGCGAAGAATCATGCTTCGTAATTAGGTTTGGATAAATAATATTGATATATTAATAATTAATAATCTAGGTTCGAACATTCCATAAATATTATTTAGCTAACTTAGGTATTTTAATATCACTTGTACTAATATAACCTTGTAATTCTTTGTAATTTTACATAGTGAGACATTAAGTGACTAATATATCCATGACTTTTGATTTGTTTCCTTCAATTAGCTATTGAATTATAAATGTATTTTAAAAGTTGATAACTTTTGTATTTCTTATCGGTTTTACATAGATAATATATCAAATTAATCATCTTTTTCATGATCTTCGATTTGACATCCATATTGTATATATAAAATAAATAAATAATATGTATCTTTATAATAAAAAATAATAATAATATTTATTAAAACTTTTTAGAAAAATAAAATTATTTCTCAGTTGATATATTTATGTTTAATGTAGTTATATGTTAAAAAATTATTATAATATAACACAAGTAAGTCACACAAACAAAACGTGTCATACTAGATATATAATATATATATATATATATATTAATAAAAGATATTTAAATTTTCAACTACTTTTTCTCATTAATTTTTGATTTTAAGGAAAAAAATTAGCAAGCACCCGTGTAATACACGGGCGTTGTACTAGTTATGATTGATATGGGATAGTATACCTAAAGGAGTAAACTGGTTCACTAGACCGACTGAATGGATCCAATATTGAGAGGGCAATACTGGTCGAACGGTATCGAGCAAAGCGGTCGTGGTCAAATACTACAAGAACAGAATATGGAGGATTTCAGTACGTGGCGTACAAGTCGGCTCAGGTCCTTGGCGGATCTGGTCGAAGGTTGACCTGTCGAACAAAAGATCATTTGATCATTTGAACAAAAGATCATTTGATAAAGAAAAATAATTTTTTTTACTTAATTCATATATGCAATATCAATATCAAATCAAAAATCTTCTAAAGCAATTATAGCTTTTAAATATTTTTATAATTGTAAAGTTTTTTATAATAGAATCCAAGTCTGGATGTATTACACCGAATCTCCCTAAATTGGCACAGAGAATTACGAAGCATATAAAATCGATGCGTGGGAACGAAACATTATGGGTGTGCTTGGATATAAGTTTGTAATTGAATTTTTTTTTACTGATTTATTTGGCTAACCATAGTTAATTTTGAACAAGTTGGTTAGATTACGTTTGAGTGAGATTTTGAGTTTGTATTAAAAATGATATTTAAACTAAAATGATTAAATTTTATTTGATGTAAAAACACGAGTCATGTGATTGGAAGTGATGGGTAGCCCCCCCCCCCAAGGTTGCTAGAAATGCTTGACAGCTCACTGCGTACGGGTACCATGTTGCACAACCATATTCTCAAAGGACATCAAGTGTAGAGCTAGGTCTTTAAACCCATCATATGTGATGCTCAGCTCTCGAAAAATATCCTCTTTGAGAACATATGACCTTGATCTCTCCTCGGATTCTTCAAATACACATTGGCCTGCAGCTCCTTCAATTGTTCGGCCATTCTCTCCACCATAAGATCATCATTTGCCCCTCCAAAAAAAATGCTCAAAATTTTGACTTCCTTGTAATTTTTCATGGTCACATTAACTATAACCGTATTGGGCATCAATGTTGTGTACACTGGCCACCACAACGTTGGCGATTAACTTGCTAAGCTCCTCCTTAGTCATAGTGACAAGCAGTTGGCCTGTTACATCTATAGTGCTCCTCAATGGTCCCATAGGCAAGACAACAGCAGATCTGGCTACGTTTGCAGTAGAACAACAATCTCCTGGCTTGATTTGACCTCTACTTTTTTTTGTTTCGGCTTGCTTCTACAGCAGACACTACCGATAAGCTTCCTAAGCTCATAGGGGCAGGCATCGGGATCATCGGAGTCTGAAATGGCCCAGAGAATCACGGTGGTGGACATGCTCCGAGCTGACGCGTGGTGGTCCAAGTCTCGTTCAAAGTTTGCTCTAGGTTTTTTTTTGTTGGAACGTCCCTCTTCATGGTTGTATCTCTCAGATTGCTTTTCAAACAAAAGTCCCAACAAACAACGCAAAATAATGTGTAAACGACCTCGACTAGGTTCACACGACCTAGATCTGTATCTTGACCTGTTCGTAGACTTTCAAAATGGATGGAAAGGGGTTACCAATGTTAGCTCTCCGATGATCCATCAATCCACATATGAACAAAAAGCTGCACAGTAGTGTAAAGATCTGTATATAAGTATGTAGAGTGTGTAGAGAATGTATTGATGAAATGTATGTACCTCACTCCCTTTATATAGGGGTGTGTTACCTTGTTTCATAAGACTGCCCTGATTGTGCTGCCAAGACTGTTTGAACTGCCATATGTACTACGGAAATTGCCAATTCTGCTAGACCACGTGGCCCTAATCACCTGTAGTTCTTATCCTAATAATATTGCTTTTTGTCCATTAGCCTGACTTATTAGACGGTCTAATCATGCGAACGATCCAAATTACCTCGAGATGGAGTGTTGCCTGTGCTGAGCTCCCATGCTATTCTCGTTTAGTCTATCCATCAATTTGTCATGCCTCTTGGTCGAGTTTCAACCAGACTATTCGAGGAACCTAGCTCGACCTGTCTGTGCTCTTTGGATCATTTGATCAACCACTTTATAGACTGAGAGCAGTTTGAGGATCGACCTAGACACAATTGAGCATAAATCCCTTCAGTGGGATTTCAGAGGAATATTCAGGGGTATGTTTACCCCATGTGCAGAGGGCACGTGGCGCGAATATACTGTATATGATGATAACCGTCTCTGACACCCGCATACTATATGTGTACGGACGGGCAAGTCAGGGCAGCTTGGGGCAGCCAGCTCTTCAAATCCGGGCTACCTTTTGAACAGGTGTTTCACCCTATATATAGGGTGGACTTTACTTCTTGAACACGATTTAACCATTTTTTACTCTTGAGAATTGATTGGAACAAACAGTATAACATCGGAGACTCTTTACCGTAAAAGTCCTCCAGTGTGAAAGTTCTTTTCAGGTACGCGG